GTAATAAAAAAATACATGTCAAATAGAGCCGTTCTTTTATTAGCTTTGCTCACAACTCTAGCAACTAAATTCTATATTACCGAATTGATTATGTCAAATAAAACAATAAAACAATGGTTATATTGAAATCAATAATTTTGCTGGGAGCCCTAATTTTGTCTTCATTTGGGTAAGCTAGATAGCACAGCCGTAAAATCAAAAAAAATTCATAATGATTATTAAGCGAAATTATTTATTTATGCAACTGTAATAAAAAAAAACATCACAAGGTAGAGAAATCAATATTAGATTATCACAAACAATGAGGTTATGTATTTTTCTTCGAAAATTTTAGCCAAATTGCAAACAAAATAATTGAAATTCCATTCAAAAACCCTTCCGTCGATCTTTTCCAATTTTCTTTATTTGAATGACAACTCCACCTAGTAACAATCGATCGGCAATGGCTAAAATTGCTCACTGCTAAGTTGTTAAATTATTATAAATTTTCGTACACTTGCGAAAACAAACCAAAATAAAATAAAATAAAGCAAACCAAATTACTTATTTTGTTTTCGGATTTTCGTATAGCAATATAAAGTATGTATAATAAAAATTTTTTTTGGCGAAAATTTATTTAAACGTCACACGCAATTATTACTAAAACTTGAAAGTGCTAAAACCCAAAAGAGCAAAACGTTAGTGTTAAACAGCGAAAGAAAAAAATTTTTAATCACCCTGATCAATGATGTAATTGGTTTGTTCAATGGGAAGTGGTGGGTGGAATTAGTAAATCCGATTTTGCTACCAACTATATATGAGTGACGAAAAGGGAAAACCTGTAAATCATTTCAGGTTTTCCCTTTTCGTCACTCATATATTACTGTCACTTTTTTTTTAAAAGTATATAATTGGATAATAAAGCAACTTTATGCGCCTAAAATGTTTAACAATTAATATTATCCGGGATTTACTCAACTTTTTTTATTCCGGAATAAATCACATGACACAAACAGACAACAAAATTAAAAGTATATGATGTGCATATTGTTAATAATAATATTATTGCTATTGTGGTTTAATAAACTCTAAAAACATGCTTTAATTTTGTAAGTCTTAAGGATTTTTTGCATCTGTAGATGTGGTCACACAGCCTAAAGACACCGTCTTGTAAGCAATAATTTTTTTTCTTTTTTTTTTTTCTTTTTTAAATTAAAGTCATTTGTAGTTTTTAACACAAAAAAAAGTAGTCAATGTTATAAGTAAATGACCTGCAAAATATTTTACCATCTTTGATGACTTAAATGTGGCAAGTCATAGCCATATTCACTTTCAAGCAGTTGAGTAAAGTCCTGCGAAAGTTTCTTAAAAAATTCTGGTACCATTTTACAGTACAGCTATGATAATTTAGAATTAGTATTGTCAAAATGAAATTCGATCAGGAAACCCTGGATTTTTACAACCGAAACCTTTGTGCTGGTATTAAATCTTTTGTGCTTGCATAAGCCATAGTTATATTCTTGTATTGTCGGTTACAGTTTGCATAACAAATAATTTTCCTTGCATGCGTATTGCATTTTATACTTGATGATTTCTTTATATTGGTATTGACCGATTTGCGAAATTTTGTTCTTGGCGATTGTAAGTACAAAATTGATACTAATCGATTTTAGTGCTGCGAAAAGAAAAATTTGTAAATACAAATCTAAGGTTCTGAATATGAATTACATAATTGAAACAGATTAAGCAATTTTAAATACTTTTAAATTTTCAGAAATCCAGATATAATTAAAATTTAAAATCGTACTTACAGGCTTTCTTTTGACAACAATCAAATGATTTATGTTGTATTTTGTCTAAGTCATCCGTAGATTTTTCTAGAATACAAATTTTCATTATCATTTTACGTTATTAGTTACAATATTATATTATATATATTATACTTATTATCTATTTAAGGAATAATTTAAAATCCGTAGTATTTTTATATTACAAATTTGATTGGATTAGTAGAAGAATATACCGGTAAATAGATTTCAATATCAGCTCAGCATGGCTGCGGCATATTGATTTATATAAAAAGCATAAGTTTTCATCTTAGGCACATTGAAAAAAAAATTTTATTCTCTTGATCTTCTTAGTCATTAAGATGGACAGATTAACAATTGAAGCAGTCATAAAAATAGTTCTTACACAGGTGTGTACTCAGATGGATCTTAATCTTAATGAAAGAAAAACTGAAGATATCATCAGGCGCATTTTAAGTGATCTCTCTCCTGAGGAGCGTAACTTCTTTAACAACCTAGCTACAGAGCTGAACTCCCGCCAAAGAAGAGATGATTACAAGATTGAAAATGCAATTTTCGATGGATGCGACTTTACCGTCGGCTTTACTACCAAGATAAAGGATTATATCGCTAGACAGTCAAGAGAGCGAAACGGGGATGACCCATTTAACAATGGTGGCAATTTCTTTTAATTATTTATTATAAAGCGTATCTATGGTGTTTTTACACCTATTATCTGTTTATATCTGTTATGTATTTTTATAGATTTTTTATAACCTTTTGTAAGTTTTTGTATAACTTTTCCACATTATGTTTAGATTTAGGAATATATTTAAGATTTAAAGAGGGTTTATGAGGTGTAAAATATTTTCACTCAAAGCACCACTCACTATCAAATTTACATTGGTGTAAAACACCATAGGTGCGTTTTAGTAAAAATTGTATAATATGTAGATACGTATAAACAATTATGTTGCACAAATATGCTATAATTATGTATATTTATTATATATACTTACAAAAATAATACTATATAAATTTTATAATTTTTTTTTGTAAGAAAAAAAAAACCATTATAATGAATTTCTTTTTCGCTTTCTTTAGTATTTGATAATTCTGATTGCAAACTATGACAAATTATGACAGATTTATTATTCCGAAAATGTCTTCTTATAAAATTTTCAATTATTCCGAAAATGTGAATATAACTCTCATCTTTTGTCTAATAAGTCAGATAATGGCGTAGCATCACTAAATAAGGCTAACTTTTAAATATTAAATAATTAAATAATTTAAATGATGCGTACTTGTTAAATACTGAAATATATAAAGTGATCATGATAAGTTAGTTTGCACAATTTGAATAATTGAATTTAATAATCTAGGTAATGTCTTCACTACTGTGGCTTTGAGACTACAGAAGTTTTACACATACATACGTACGTACGTAAGAGGTAACAGGTAAGCTATTTATCAAACCTTATTCGCATTAAAAGATATTTAACCATTTCACTGAGCCATTTTTTTCATGGACAATAACGCCGAAACAACAGTAAATTTTTGAAAATAGTACTAATTTAGGAATTAATTTAAAAACTTAAATGAATGTTACAAATCTATAAATTTATTAAGCTTATCTATCGCTATATATCCATATATAGATCATTTTAAAATGAGTCACTATTTTCATGGGACGATCGATCCTTTATGTATAAGATTTATGTATAAAATAGATTTCTAAAAATAATTCCGAAATTCCGCCTTTGTTAATACAAGTTTATTAATTTTGTTAATCGATTCGGTTATTAGCGCAACCAATACGCTATTTTAAGAGGTCTGGCTGTACCTCTTATAGAAACAGCAGGGATATTTATCGATTTTTAACGGCTGCCCTACCTCATGAGGTGCGTCAAGTGTAACCCGGATTTGCATGAGGAGAGCATCTTTCTGCGCTGCGAATACAAAGTAAAATTCCAATTATATAATATAGTTGGAAATTTACTTTGTATTCGCAACGCAAATCCGGGTTACACTTGACGCACCTCATGAGGTAGGGCAACCGATAAATATCCCTGCTTATAGAAACTAGTACGTACGTACGCACATACTAATGGGTTTCTTCACTTTGTTAAGAAATTATTACTCATAAGTAATAATAAACTACTAATATTTAAACGCTGTCATCAATGAACACGTCATTCTGACGAGTCTTTTCGAAAAAAAAAGCATTTACAGAATAGTAAAAATATTTAGCAAGTATTAATTAACAATGATATTATTTCAACAACCTTTATACAATTTATAAAAAAAAAAATTGAAGCTTTACTATTTTATTATTCTCTTATTTAAATGTTTAACCTGCTGTTATGACAGTTCGGTTTATATATAGAATTTAGTTGCTAGAGTTGTGAGCAAAGCTAATAAAAGAACGGCTCTATTTGACATGTATTTTTTTATTAC